AAATCGCAGGGAATTCCAGTTTAAGCCCCCCCCCCTTATCTAGCAGCAAAATCCATTCTCGGTGAAAAGTCAGCTCCAATGATGACAGTTTCATGACAGTGTCGGTCAACTCGAGGTATGTGACGGTTTGAAACAGCTGTTGAATTGCATCTTGTTTGAATGGGCAGCAGCCATCCCTGCATTGGCCAACCGTGGAATGTTTGCGCACACATGCTGCTTGACATGCAGGCGAGTGGGCAAAAGAATTGAGATGGAATAAGCAGACTAGAAGTGTTTGAAACAAGTTCGAGCAATAAACTGCTGCGATGACCTCACCGTGCAATCTCCTGTGATCTTGACCGCCATTACCGTGCGGGTGTGATTAACTTGTTACACATACTGTCGGACGAGTATAATTAAAAGTCAACCGCATATGCGAGCTGAGAAAGTGGAATCTTTCAATGGAATTTCTTTCTTGCCAGTCAGTCCGTAGGGAAAATTGCAGGGGTGTTCTTTTTGGGATACGTTTGAGAGTGTCTTCGGGCTCACGGTTGATGGCTGCTGCAGGATTTTTCTCCACGGGCAATCTGTTCTGCTCACTCCTAGAATTGATCGCAACAACACCCTTCATCCATATGAAGCGTTCTCATCAGTATCGCAAGCGTGGCCATCTGTAGATGATCAACGGGCAGTATCATGAAAAAGCAATGTTGTTTTGACGCTATCTCGATATGGATGCACTGGGAAACGACAACGCGGTTGCCCCTTTGTGACCAAATGTGTGATGGGGAGACAAATTCAATAGTCAGCAGCCGAAGCCAAAGTCACATCGGAGAGGTCAGTGGCACCTCCAAAGCGGAACGCGATCCCTTCCCTTGAATTGAAACGCTCTTAATGATGCCATTTTTGGCACATTTGACCTGAGGACTGCTTACCAGAGCAAGGACATTTCCTACTTTGTTTTCAGAGCAATTCCCCCTCTCATTCCCACCAGCTGTCATCAAAATCCCGTGGGAACACATGAAATGAATGGGAAAGGATAGTTGAGTAAGAGAGAGGGGATTATTGTGTACGTGCATGTGTGTGATTCATCCTCGCCCGTCGCTCTCCCACGCCCTGTCGGCCAGACGGAGCAGGAGATGCTTCTCGGGATCATGGAACGCTCACAGTTTACGTACCTTCACTCGGATGAGAATGCCCCGAACTCTGCTGTCACATGGTGCAGCGAACAGAGCGGTTTCTAAAGCGTCTGTCAGAGTGATGCGCCAAATACGTGTTCTGGTCATGTAACATGCAAAACAAGGGTGTCATTACGCTAAAGCCGGCATGCATCAGAACATTGAAGAGCTCTAGCGGCCAGCCAGGCAAATTATATGTTAAGTGACTTTGATTGCAAGGCTGCCGGAGCTGTTTAAAAAAAAAAAAAATTGAAATAGAAATAACTTGAATGAATGTTGTTGGGTTATTCGCCAGCATACAGTAGCGAATTTGCTGCAGTCTCGATAAATTGTGCGTGAGCTTTCATTTTCTCTCGTTTTGAAAACAGCCGCACAATTATGAGGTTGAGATCTAATAAAAAGTGTCAAGTCTAAACCTCTTTTACAGAGAGATGCCACAAAATGGCTCCATCAGACACAGATTGGTTTTTGAACCAAACCCAGTGATGTGAGCTGTGCGTGCGGCTGCACAGCGATGCGCGGCGTCCCGGAATCAGACACTGAGATGCATGGCAATGCATTTCAAGTGCCAGCTTCTGGCGTGAGCTGTACAATACTTGTCGCGCGCTGTCATTGCTTTTGAGCACGACACAGTGGGAGAAGATGATAAACGATCTGAAATGATATATTTACATGTAACCGTCACTGCATTGTGAATCATTTTTCAAAGATGGTGACTCATCCTAACAGTCACTTATGCAATCATTATTATCTGTGGTGATCTGCTGTTCTTCCAGGAAATAAAACTATTTTCATCTCTTTTTTTTTTGCAAGTTTTGCCATAAGTCTGCAGGTTGCTCGGTTGCCGGCCTCTCTGGTCATTGAGTTGCTCTTTGAAGTTACTGGCTGCATGTGCCAAGACTGGACGTCTGCAGCTACTCTGTGAGATCATCTCTTTCTCAGGGCTTCCTTGTCTTATCAGGCAAAACCAGATTGCTGCCTCCCCTACTTGTCCGCTGAATATTTCTTTTGGGAGGGCAATATATCGACCGGGTATGTGCTTTTGAAAAAAATCTTCAAAGAAATTGAAACACTTTTAGCCTTTCTTTCATGATGCCAATCACCGCAATGACCTTTAATTTGGAACTTGGCGGCCGCCTTTCTTCTTGCTCTTGCCTCCGTCTGCTTTGTATTCATTGCGCACCCACCGGCCACCGCGAACTCCAACCGCACATGCTTTTCAAAGGTAAACGCAGGACAGAACTCTCTGATCGTGTCCATGCAAACTCAGCATTGTTGTCTTCGAAAAGTGAACATTTAGGAATAAATCGTGCCGATGATTTGCCAGACTGCCTCAACCAGGCTAACACTCTGACAGCCGCACTCTGCCCTCAGTGTCAGAGCTTGATCACGTTGATGACCTTTAATCTGCCGTTTGACTGTTGCCATCAATTGAGCTAACAGTGGAGTCCATTGTGAAGCGACAGCTTGCACTTCAACATGTCTCCCGATCGATACAACGGTCTCAATAAATATTGCTCGGTATGCAGTACCTTGAATTGCACACCAACAGAGTTGTCCTTACAATGACCTATTGTTTATCTGCATTTCCCACAATGCCAAGTTTCTGTTTAGCCAAAGGCAGAAACCGCGTGAGGTTTTCTTTTATTTGCTAAAATTTGCTGAACTGTTGCCAGGCGGCCACCATTCCTTCTAAATGGAGACGTTTTAATGAAACGGGTAAATAAAAGTAATGAGCCTTTGTCGTTTTCACACGGCGCATACCGCACATGTAACAATCGCAACAGTCGCTCACATCCGTTTATAATGCAGAAGGCCTCTCTCTTCATTCGTCTTCCCTGCCGATGCGAATGGCAATCAGAGAGCCACGGGGAGGTGATCAATATTCCGGCGGCTTCCCAGAAAGGTCACAAACCGGGCTAGTCGCTATGAGGGACGCGTTTGCATCTGCTCGCTGCCAAATGATTTCAAATGATCCTTGCGCAGGAGGAGAAAATCTCATCTGCTTTTTAGCATTTGACCCACCGCCTTGTCCTCTTTGCGGCAGCCAGTTGTGGCAGCTCGGAATAAATAACCCGGCCTGTTTAGTGCGGTGGAGTAGCTGCAAACTGGGGCGGAAAACAAAATTCCATTTCATACACCATTGTGTAAATCCCTTTTGCCAGTATGTTAAACACAAGTCGGGGATGTTGGATTAAAGAACGGGTTATTTAAAAAAAAAAAGAAACAAAGCTAGATGAATATTAATGTCCTTTCCCTGTTGTGCTTTCAGTCAGTGGCACAGCTCCGCATCCGCACATCTTTTTCCAGCCGTTCGTTATTTCCAATGACTAAACCCTGCTGGTTGCCACACCATCGCAGAACACGTAAGGCGACCATTCGCAACGACCGTCGCACCAATTCCAATCGGAGTCTTCAATGAACCCAACTTGAAGGTTTCGGGGGATGGAAAGCAAAGTGCCTGGACAAAATACACAATGCAAGCTTGGGCAGAATACAAACACGTTGATGTTCCAACAGAGATTCAAACGCTGCACTGTTTAGTATCATATTCATAGTTGAGCGTTGTGGCTACTGTATTATTAATTGTCTTGCGCTTCGTCATTTTTTTAAATTGCATTTTCCACAGGCATCGCTCGATAGAGCCCATTTAGAAGGCGAAAGAGCTGGCAGGAGACTGAGTAGCGGCAGTCGGTTTGCCAGCATTGCAAGCGGTCTACTAAGATGATGGGAGAAAAGGAGAGAAGCAGAAGAAGTCAGGAGAGTTTCCATAGGAATCCCTTTTATTTATGCATGCAGCAGCTCAGAATATGGGACTGTCCCAACCTCATTATGCATGTTTTTCCCATAAGCTCGTGCGGCTCATCCAACCCTTGAAAGCTTCTACTCTCTCCTCTCCGTGCTCATTTTTTAAACCACGTCACTCCAGGGAAGCCATGTCGTGCTTCATTCATTGAGAAGACTCTTCCTCCTTCATGCTTAATCTCTCCAGCTCCCCTCATCACCCTGCTCATTTTAATTGTGCTGAATTAGTTTTTTTTCTGTTCAAAGACTATTTCAGCAATATTAGAATATGCAAACAATTTGACCCGAAACGAACTCATTCTGCACTTATTCGGTGCTCGTGAATGCATGCCCCGCATGGGCATGTTGCTTGATTTACACAGTGATTAAGATTCCGCACTTTGTTTGCTGCTCACTTCAAAGGTCGGTAAACGTGGAGCCTGACCCAGTGCAGATTGTTTGTGCTGCGTGTCGTGCCACCTCGTAGCTCCCTCGGTCTCTTCCTTTTGTTTTGTCCTTTCCAATGAGAGTGACTGCCATCGGAGGTTTCAGCTTATGATGGTGCAGTGCAGCTCCGCCCCTGCGCATGAGCCTGTTCTTATACTGGTTTTCAATGATGATTCATAAAGTCCGCATTGTTAGTTGTGTTCACTTGAAATAGCGGAACACACTTGAAAGTCAAAGCTGAGCGACTGCCAGTGCAAGCATTTCGTCATTCATGAGTGGAATGTCTGTCACATTTCCAATTTCAGGTTTAAAATACAAATGACTGCATGAAAGTATTTACATATGCCCGATCATGCAGCAGAGTGTGCACGCGCAGCATTCTGCTCTCATTCCATCCTGCTGCAGTGCTAATGGTGACAAATTTACTGTCTATAAAAGTACTTTTTGCTGACCATCCACTCCTTCCACTGTTAATGTGTACGACAAACCCATGGGCATCGCCAAAAGCCTGCCTATAACAAGGCTGAATCAGAACCAAATCACTTGATGTATGGAATTTGAAGGATGACGCAGCCTGAGCTAAAAAGCTTCTCTTTCATTTGTGTTCTGCAGGATTTTAAGGACACAGTCCCTGGAATGGTATTACAACAATGTGAAAAGACGCTTCAAGAGATTCGGCAGCGCCAAGGTTTTGAAGACTTTATATCGGAAGCACATTATAGAGAGAGGAGCGCTATCTGATCTCCCAGGTAAACTCGGCCTTACCTGTGTGTGTGTGTGTGTGTGTGTGTGTGTGTGTGTGTGTGTGTGTGTGTGTGTGTGTGTGTGTGTGTGTGTGTGTGTGAGAGACAACGTCTGTATGTGTGCTGATGGTTTCCCTGCAGCCGTGCCTAATACGTGCAGTAGGCTGCGTCCATTTTTGTTTTGCCCTCGTTGGGTCGCTCTGTCGTGGGCAGCAGCGGGGCAGCTTTTATCCATTCTGCCCCCCCACCCCCCGATAGCATTGTTTTGACCCGGCTGCAGCATGATCAGTCTGTCTCCACAGGGCATTATTTCCAACCCCAGTAGGCTGGATTAAATGGATGAAGGGAGCACTGAGGGGATAAATCAGGTCAGCCTTTGGGCTAAACTGGATGAGGGGAAGGTTCAGGATAAGTGAGGGACTGCGAGACATTTGCAAGCCTGAGTGATGTGGAAGTTTTTTTCCTCATAATAATGATAGTAATAATAATAGTTGCCGGAGTAATTATGTATCTCTGCTATTTGTTTATTTTTCTAGGACAAATGTTTGAGTCGTGAAAAATCCAATTGTGCGTTTGACATTAAATTAATCACATTGAACTATCAAATTTCCAAAATGTCAAATGCAAGCATGCAACACTCTCATTTTATTATAAAGTATTTGATATGGCTTAGGCAATTAACACAAACACACAGTCGCAGGCGGGCACAGACATTCCCCTTTTGTTTTCAAGTCACACATGAGCTTTATCGCCTCCCACTGAAGAAGATGAACATGAAAGGCCCGGATGGCCGGCTCCCTTTTCTCCCTCGCCGTCTGTTTGAAGGTCACACATTCATTGTGGACACGTGACTGGTGTAAAACATCCGCCGCTCTCTCGACGACCGTCACGTCGGCCGCCATCTCACGCCTCCCGACAATTGATGCCGTGGAGGTCAGTCACTTGGCGATGAAGAAAGAAATAAAAGCCAGCTTTGCCGCAAGGCATGTGAAGTCCGCCCAGTGGATGGGAAAGAGTTTATGAGAATGTTTTACATTCCTGAGGCGTTGCCCCTATTTGCATGAGAGTCCATTATTTTGAGTTTCAGGGCCGTATCATAAAATCCCATTCTGGAAGTAGACCAACAGAGGTGGTGTAAAAATGTTTATTAAATCATTTTTTCTTCTCAGTGCAGCACAGAATAGAATGAAGCACGTGCGGAATCAGGGGATGTACAATAAGTTGTGTCCAGGAAGTTGGAGTATGGAAAAACAATGGGATGACTTTATAATATCATATAAAGAAGCATATTTTCTTTGTTGACTGGCTGGGAGAAATGTCTTTTGCCGATAAAAGGATTCAATTTTCGAGGCGCCCTTGAAGTGGAAAAACAGGCCTAAGTCGAGCATTCAAGGTCGTCGGTCGATTTGATGCTAAGCTAGCAAAACAAGTCCCTGGATCTTGTTCCAAATGAAAGTGCCAACATTGAGTTGACCTTCTCATCTCGCAGAACGTAGCGTTTCACAGAATGTTAAACAGCCCCTTGAAAGAGTTCAAAACAAGTTTATTTGAGGACCTGTGGGAGTAAGCCAGAAAAGTGCATTTTGTGCTACTTTTCGCTTGTCATCTGTGGCTCAGAATCACTTTGAGAAGTAGGTGATGGATAAACATAGCACCGCAACAGTGAAAGAAATCATCACTTCTCTTTGTCTGTGTTCTTTCATCTCAAAGCTTTTGGGTGTGATGGGCCGAATGTTTAATGGAAGCAAAGAGTCACTTGGATGTCTGCAATGAAAGTGACATTTGGTGAAATTATTGGAGAAAAGGTCTGCTCACCCGCATCGGGGGGTCATCTCGACATGAGAGGAAGGCGAAGTGAAACTCTGACCTTTTGTCAGCTGAAGCAAATCTTCCTCACTTAACATTCACTGTCGGATTGAATTACGCCCATGCTGCGAGTTCCTCGACTGATCCACAGCCAGCAGAGACGCGACTTTTCAGGAAGCAGTTTTTATTGTCATGCGACGGGCAGATCTGCCTCGCTCCCGCAGTCCTTTTCACCCAAATGACAGGTTGTTTAACGCATTTAACCCAGTCTGCTTATAATTCAGCGTATTTTTCCCTGCATACTCAAATGTCACACACGTTTATTTCAAATTAAACGACAGCGTGTTTATGCTCACGGCCATTGTCGAGATACGCTGAATGATTTCTTTTTTTTCTGCTTACATTATTTAATTACATGAAAGAGTCAAAGTAGTTGGAGCGCCTCTGGAAATGTTGCAGTCGGAGTAATAAACATCATCAAGTCTATCTGAGAACATGGAAGATGTATTACACGTTTCATGTCATCGGGGATGGAGTGGCCAATGGGAAATTCTGGAAAATGTGTTTATTTTCCCAAACGGCCGGTCCTGGGCATCAATGTGATCTTATTAATGAACAAATGTACCAGATGTTGAATGTGTTAGGTTGTTTTAGTAGGTTTCAAGTGTGATTTGCTGGATGGATGTCCCAAACGAATGCGAAAATCTTCCATTGGGGTTGACTGCATGGCGTTGGACGTTATGACGGCTCACAATTAAATGGGCATCACATCACAAGAACAAGAGACAAACTCTCAGGGGGGGGGGATACAGGAGACCAGCTTGCTTCCGTTGCTCCTCTCTTGTGATGTTAGAAGATAGCCTGTCAGTTCAGCCCCTTGTTGTGACAGCGTTGTTAATAAGACATTTGCTGCCAGATGCTCCATTGTAATTGAAAGGACTCCCCCACCCCGTCTTCTGGCTGATCTCAACGCTGATGGAACTTCTGTGCCGTCTTATTTTCTTTTCGTTTTCTCTATCTGTATGTAATGCTCAATGGCCAAAGTGTTTGGAAACACCTTTGCTGCATAAAGGCACAGGAGTGGCACATTGATGAACACTGTGCACGGCGCTCTCGGCATGAACAACACAACCCAATAAAGTGACGACTTTGGGTGAAATATCAATAAAAAGAGACTGATTACAATTTCTTTTTTCATTCTCTTTTCAATTCAATCATTAAATTCACCACCAAGGCATTTAATTTTCAGAATGGCATTTTATTTTTGTTCCTGACACTTTTGGGGGACAAATAACATGCCCCGAGTCCAATTTGACCCAAGTTCGTTCTTGCTCTACCCGAGAAACTAACATAACAGGACGGTTCAAATATGAGTGACTCAGTACACCAAGTCGTGTGGACTTAATATTGCACGACTGTTTACTGTAAATGTTCTCTCGGTTGGATTGAAATATAAATCCATTTAATTTGTGTCATTGTAATCAAACGCGTCTATTGATTTAAAGCAGCGGTTCATACTTGCAGCCTTGTAAAGTTGTAACGTGGCCGCACTGCGTGGAGGTTGAAGATCAGCAATCATTTGCTTTAGTGTTCCTCAAAGGCAAATTACAACTTTTGCAGTAATTTAAAGGCATCTCTCCGGAAAGCGCCGTGCTCCATTGGGATGCTGCGGCATACATTATGGAAGAGATCAAGGTAAGGGGCTGTGCAAAGAGTGCACAGCTGAATGCTAATATCAGCACACTCACACGCCCCCACAAAGACGATTGAGGGTCTGTCTTAAGAATGTTTGCATGCCTCCGCCGGTTGGTCAACCTTAAAAGGTTTGGCGACAGCTGGTCACAGATGAAAAAGGCGCTGTCTATTTCTTGAAAGATAAAATGCATGATGCTCGCTTTGGCTTGCACCGCATTCATTGTTTTCTCCTTTCTTTCTCTTCTCTGCGGTAAATCCTGCCCACGTTTCTTGCGATGGTCACGGTGAAATCCCTCGGCCGCATCGCTCACATTGGAAGCGCTAAGACGCTGTCATATATTTTTCTATTTGGGCTCGCCTGCTGAAGGAGCAGACGCCTTCTGTACCGCCAGCCTTCGCAAAACAATCGCAATGGATGGGTCGGTCGACCGTGCACTGCGCTGCTCTAAGTGCAGTGTGAGAGGGCCTCCACTGTGGTGAAATGATCCTCTTGAAGTATGTGGTCGCCACAAAATGTCATTGTTGTGTTCTTTTCAACGTAAAGAAGTCATGCGCTGCATTGTTTTAACAAAGTCAGTCGGTTCCTCGGCTTAATAACATTTTTGTGGCATACTTTCAGAAAACTACCTTGAGGATCAAGAATTCGTGACTTTTATGATGGCTCTTATGCAGGGTGCTCATCCTCATGTCTTCCGCTGGCCAAGAATGTGTTTGGCTTTGGTTGGATTGACAATCAGTGGGATGCTAAAACAGTCGCATGAGCTTGAAGCTGATTGAATATTGTTGCGAGAGGGAACGACAAAAGCAAAAGCAGGACATACGGTGGTGGTTCTTCCAAAAATGCTTCTGTGAACTTCTCTTTTCCACATTTGTAAGATACGCTATACTATCTTCACTCACAAGAACTGTGCGCGCTGACTTCCGTTTTATTTTCACATCCCACACAGGTGCGATCCCAAAATCACAAACATACGCAACAGCGTCATCTAATTGTAATTCTTTGTCAATTGTGAACTGGGAGAAAAAAAGGTGTGTGCCTGTTGATTTGATTGAGCCATCCTTCTGCAACGTCAAAGAATATTTGGCAGCCTCGTGAGGAATGTCCCGAAGCAATCTTCAAAGATGAATTTTGGATGTGGCGTCCCATCTGGTTGTTTTCTTTGATCAGACGAGATGTAATCCTGAAATCACTCAACGTGAATTATTGATAAAGCTTTTGTCTCGGTGTTATTTCAACTCGCATTCGCTATACGCGCTGGTCACAACTGCTGTCAGACAACGATGCCAGCTACAATCCCAATCACGCCGCCGCACATCAACATAAGATTCATATTGCAGTCGAGTTCATTTACTGCATATTTTCCGAAGAGGAACACTTATGGGAAAACGGAGCTCTCATCCAACGTTAACACGGCGTTGCAGGAGAGCGGCGGTTGCCGAAGCTCGGCTCATCTTCGAAGCCGGGTGACAGTTTGCTATGGCAGAGGCCATTTAGCGGGTCTGGCACAATCACACCAAAACCGCACGAGTGAATTTGGACTCTCAAAGAGAAACGGCAGACGGTCCAGCTGGAAGACGAGTCGCGAGTGAGGACTCTTGCGTGGCTTTCGGTTTGGAAGAATGACTTGGAATTATGGCTGCTGTGTTTTCTCTGGAATTTTTATTCGGGTTTCAAGTGTGAGGTGCAATCGTAAACACATCATTCATCGTGGAATATTTAGTTTGTTTGCTTCTGAATCTGCGTGCCCGTTTATCCCGGAGAATGTGGGCGTAACGGTTTTTGAAGTAAGAGGCAGTTTCACGTTATTGACTGCATTCAGACCATTTTCCAATCAATTATAATCACAACATTCATATTTAGGTCGCATGAATATCTGAGATTTCCGAGCTTTATATATAAATATGTCAGCTTTGTTCCTTCAGAGAGCTGTCCTGAATTGTACTCGTGACTGTTGGAGTATTTCTTTTGAAAGCAGATCGTATTATCAGATGAGTTGCCTTCGGGATTTTGTCAAAATAAGAACAATGAAATGAGGAGTACGCATGACAAGAGTACAAGGGGCCGTGGGGATTAGTGGCGCGGTGCGCAGCGGGCTATGTTATTTGCAGATTTCAATATGAACGCAGTGTTGGCATGACTGTGACGGGGTGTCAGATTTTCGGTTTGACTCACAGCCTCTCCGTCTCTTTCACTCAGAAAGCAGCGTCCACGAGGGAAGTTTTGGCAATGACAACGATGGCAGCATATGTGGCAGTGACTCCGTCTTCTACAAACAGAGTGAAGGTGAGGACACTGCTGTATTGAGATTTCTGCCTCTTGTCCCCCCCCACACACTCGTTTTGTTTTCCTGTTCGCTACATTGCCAGCATGGATAAATAAACATTTATTTGTATTGAATAAATCCCGATTTTGGGTCAAATGAAGTGAAAATGGATCATTTCCCAAGGCATCTCCTGATGATTGTGTTCTTCATATGTGTGGCATCAGGACACAGTATGGCTGAGACGCTCACGGTCGCCTTGCGCGTTGCTGAGGAAGCCCTAGAGGA